AGAAGTAAACATTATGATTGAGTTCAATTTCCATAGCCTCTGCAGTTCTCTTTTGTATGTTTCATTGTATGAGAACAAATCTTATTCCATTGCTATTCCAGTTTTGTACACGGTATTATTTGTTTGAGGATGTAGAAGATTATTTATACCCCATGATGATACAGTCCCTTAAATTCTGTGAAATTTTCTTATAAACGTAACAATAGATTACAATGTCTAAAGAAACATTCTAATTGTACCACACCTTTATATGCATGGAGTGCTGAACCTGCAAATCCGAAAACAGCAAGCCAAATGATTCTCCACTCTAAATACAATATCATGATCTCCTCCAACATTACCTGCAGAAAACTCTGAGGATATAAATGGAACTTGCAGTTGACAGGTAGATCAACACCACACTGTAGGCACGTTTAGTACGCAATATTACAACATACTCATGTACTAGACAACATTTTGATATCCTTTTGTATTTAATAATGTCATGACTAATCCAGCATACCCAACCTACCATAACACATTCACACGAGTATCTTACATACCACAGAGATGCAAAATATACAGAATTTACCAGTTAAACCAGGGAATTTGACTTGCTTAGAGTGCCATCTCAGCTTGCAAAGCAGCAAGTTCGTCTTCCTCTGTATGTTTCTGAGGAGCAGGGCGAGTAGGTACTCTGCCTGCTGGGACCTGAACCGGAGCAGCAGGGGCCGTGGTTGTAGGCTGAAGAAGTTGTTCCTCCAACTCTGCACCTTCCAATTCTTCAAGCTCAGCCTCCAATTCGTCCTGTCAGGATGAAAAAAATTTATGATGTTGCTTGCTTACATAACTCGTGTGTATCAATATAGAGAATTTCAATATAAATAGAATTAAAACTTCAAACTAGTCAAATTAGAGAAAAGCAAAGAACCTCATCAAAATCAGTTGCTGCACTAATGGGCGTAGCCAAGGCTTCCTGTATCTGCTTCATATTCTCTGTTTGTTCATTTATCTCGTCCATTGTCTTGTCCACATCATCAATGTTCCTATATATAAGCCATGTTAAAGTTCTATACATGCTGAAAAGATGACACACATCAATTCAAGTATTCAGTCTGATGCATAATTATGGCAAAAGGAAAAACAAATCACAAACAGCGTCTACCAGGTGCTAGATAAAATTTCTTAGAACTCCAGATGTACTACATAGCTACTTACGTTGCTTTCTGCATTGATTTCATCGCAGACGCTCCACTTCTCAAAGCGTCCACTGTTTCAGTAGTTGCTTTGGCACCTTCTAACATTATCATCTACAGAGAGACATTTAAAATAAGCACTCAGAAAGGTTTTTTTAGAAAAAAAGGATATGAATGAAGCACCATGCAATACACATGAACCCAAAATGTTGAATCAACCTGATCATGGACGCGTAGTTGGAAATTTCCAAGCTGCTCAATTTGCTGTTCAAAGAGTCTCTTCCGCTTCAAACACTGTATAGCCGCTGCATCATAAATTTCATTTACATAAGTTTGTTTCACAGGTCAAAGTAGAGCCTTCTAGATATGTTGGTGATGGAGATAGTAATAGACATTATAGAGAATATTTTTCAAATTAGATACTTATTTTAGGAAACGCAGTTAGGGTTTTGTTTAACAGATTTTCTAATACTCTAATAGTTGTTTCCTACCTAAATTAAGTTAGTTTAAACCCCATTGATAAGGTCTCTACATTGTAATACTTATACTTGATTATTGAATAACTCATATTTCTCCCTCTCTTGATTCTCTCCCTTGGTCAGATGATGCTATTGAAAATTATTACACCTTCAATTGTCAACGAAAAAAGACAGCCTCCTTGGATAAGAAGTTGCAATCTACCTCATTTGAGCCAAGTTCCCTTAGACGAGAAGAAATGATGGAGATCCTAATGGCTATATTGTAAGGAATACTTTCCAAATTAGATATTTATTTTAGAAATTGTAATTAGGATTTTAATTAACAAAATTTCTAGTATTTTAATAGTTGTCTACTTCATAAATTAGACTAGTTTAAACCCAAAATAAATACGGTATGTGAATTGTAGTACTTAGACTCGATTATTGAATAAACTCATATTTCTCCTAATTTCTCTTGATTCTCTCCCATTTCTTCTCTCTCCCCCTTTCTGCTCAAATCTCAATCTTCTTCATTGCATCCTGCATCACAGTAGATATATTATAAGGAATATTTTCCAAATTAGATATTTATTTTAGAAAGTTCAATTAGGATTTTAATTAATAAATTTTCTAGTATTTTAATAATTGTTGCCTACCTAAATTACATCAGTTTAAGCCCTCGTTTGGCCACCATTATTTGAGATTTTAATGGTTGGAATAGTCTTTTTTAAGAATGTGATTAAAAAAGAAAAAAAA